TTTTACCAGTTTATGGCTTTTGAAAAATTCATCCATTTTGCCTAATTTATCTAATTGGTTGCCATATCATTTTTCATAATATTCCTTTATAGTCCTTTTTATTTCTATAAGAAATAATGAAGCAGATTTTTGTTCCACTGAATTTCTCTACTTTCTACTTTATTAATTTTAATTATAATATTTATTATTGGTGGTAGTGTTTCTTTATTTCTCCCATATTTACATTTAGTTTGCATTTCTTTTTCCAGTGCCTTATGCTGATATTTGAGAAACTTCATTCTTTTTTAACACAATCATTTGTATCTACAGATTTCCATCTAAACATTACTTTTGTTTCTGTTATGCATTCTTATATGCACATTTAAATTCATTAATCTAACTGAAAGTATCTTCTAATTTCCTTTGTGATTTTTTTCCTTTGGCCTATTGTTTATTTAGGTGTATTATGTTAATTTTACATGTATGTAAATTTCCCTAATATCCCTTTGTTGGTTATTTACTTATGATAAAATTCAGTTGAATTCAGAGAAAACGCTTTGAACTTAGACATCCACTTCTTGCTTTCAGACATCAAAGATCCTGATTTTCAGGCCCTCAGACTCAGGGACTCATATAGGTACAGTCTCATACTTCATTCTAGGATAATTCCTTGAGCATTTTCGTATTTCTATTTTGGAAATTTCTTAACTTTCTGTGTTTTTTTTTTTTTTAGTCAATATTGGAAATTACTTTCCCTCTAAAATTAAATAACTTTGCATATACTTTTTGTATTTAGTTGTATAGCTGTGAAACATGCACCTGTATTTTTTTTTTTTTTTTTTTTTGACAGGCAGAGTGGACAGTGAAAGAGAGAGAGAGACAGAGGAAGAAAGGTCTTACTTTCGCCATTGGTTCACCCTCCAATGGCCGCCATGGCTGGCACGCTGCAGCCAGCGCACCGTGCTGATCTGAAGCCAGGAGCCAGGTACTTCTGGTCTCCCATGTGGGTGCAGGGCCCAAGCACTCGGGCCATCCTCCACTGCACTCCCGGGCCACAGTAGAGAGCTGGACTGGAAGAGGGGCAACCGGGACAGAATCCAGCACCTCGACTGGGACTAGAACCCAGTGTGCCAGTGCCGCAGGCAGAGGATTAGCCTATTGAGCTGTGGCGCCGGCCTACACCTGTATTTTTTTCTCTATCAACTGTCTCCATAGTTATTTTTCCATTGTTGTATCTCTGTATCTATACTTCTCTGTTTCTTTCATTAATTGGGATAAATAATGGTTGACCTATTTTGATTTTCTTTATAAAGAATCAACTTTTTTTTGTTTTGCATTAGTTCCATGGATTTCTGAAAATATTGATTTTTTTCTTTAATATCTCACCCCATTCATTTTCTTTCAATATTATTTTTCAATATTTCATTTGAATGTTTTACATTGATTTCCATTCTTTTATTTCTAAATATCTAAGTAATTAGTGCTATGATTTTTTAGTGTCTCTTAAAATTGCTTTTTAGATTCTAGAATTCACTGAGTTTTATTTTCATTCTTGTTCTAAAATATAGTATGAAATTTCAAGTTGCACTTCACTTTTGACCCAATACTTTATTTTTTCCATGTAGGAAAACATTTTTGTCTGTTGACTTTGTTAATGCTTTCTTGCATTGTGGTAACTGGCTACTTGCATTGATTCTTTTTTTTTTCCCCAAAGAAACCTTTTATTTAATGAATACAAATTTCATAACTGCAACTTTAGGAATATAATTATTCTTCCCACCTTTCCCGCCCTCCTACTCACATTCCCCTTGCCAATCCTCTCTCTCCATTTAGACTCATTTTCAATTAACTTTATACACAGAAGACCAACTCTATACCAAGTAAAGATTTCAACAATTTGCGCACACACACACACACACACACACAACAACTGAGAACAAGTTTTAGAGTTAATTATAATACAACTCATTAAGCACAGAGGTCCTGCATGGGAAGTTAGTGCACAGTGACTCCTGTTTTTAATTTAACAATTAACACTCTTATATGCCATCAGTAACCACCTGAGGCTCTTGATATGCGCTGCCTAGCTATGGAATCTACAAACTCACTATTTATACAAGGCCATAAGCAACAGGAAGTTCCCTCCTCCATTCAGAGAAAAGTGCATCCTTTTCTGATGACCCTTTGTTTCCACTGGGGTCCCACTCACAGAGATACTTCATATAGATTATTTTTTGCCACAGTATCTTGGCTTTCTACGCTTGAAAACTTGCATTGATTCTGCATTATGAAACTACTATGTTTGCCTCTACAAGCTAATTTATGGTCATCTTTCTAATATCTTATATACATGAGTAATTGAGATTCACTGGGTGTCAGTTTCAATAAAGAATCATTATATTTGCATTTTTACTTTTTTTTTTTTAGTTTTTCAAGTTCTCACTTATTTTTGTCCACTTTTCAATATTGAATTGAGAATGGTATGTTAAATACTCCTAATACTATAAGTTTCTTTTTTTTTTTTTTTTTGGTTCTTACATCTCCTGAGGGACTATTTTATTATTATTATTATTTAATAAATGTGAATTTACAAAGTGCAACTTTTGTATTGTTGTGGCTCCCCCCCAAACTCTCCCTCCCGCGGCCCTCCCCTCTCCCGCTCTCTCCCATCCCGCCCTCCATCGAGTTTCATTTTCAATTACCTTCATATACAGAAAACCAACTTAGTATATACTAAGCAAGGATTTCAACAGGGTGCACTCACACAACCGCACAAGGTAAAGGGTATTGTTCGACTAGTAGTGTTATCTTTAACTCTCATAGTAAAACACATTAAGGACAGAGATCCTACATGGGGAGCCTGTACCCAGTGACTCCTGTTGTTGATTTAACAATTGGCACTCTTATTTATGACGTCAGCAATAGCCCAAGGCTCTTGCCATGAGCTGTCTAGGCTATGGAAGCCCCTTGAGTTCACCAACTCCGAACTTGTTTAGTCAAGGCCATATCACAGTGGAGGTTCCTTCCTCCCTTCAGAAAAAGGCGCCTCCCTCCTTGATGGCCTGTTCCTTCCGCTGGGGTCTTGTTCACCAGGATCTTTCATTTAGATTGTTTTTGCCACCATGTCGTGGCTTTCCATGCTTGTGAGACTCTCATGGACCTTTTAGCCAGATTCGAATGCCCCAAGGGTTGATTCTGAGGCCAGAGTGCTGTTTTGGGCGTTTGCCATTCTATGAGTCTGCTGTGTGTCCTGCTTCCCCCGCAGGATCATTCTCTCCCTTTTAATTCTATCCTTACTATTTGCTTACACTGGTCTTATTTGTAAAATCTCTTCGACACTTATCCTATTTTTTTTGATCACTTGTGTACTTATACTTATCATTTTACCAAGTGTGCTGGCATTGGTACATGCCTCCTTGATAAGATTGAGTTGAAATCCCCTGGCACATTTCTAGTTCCACCATTGGAGGTAAGTCTGAGTGAGCCTTTGCCAACCTACGTATCTCCTCCCTCTCTTATTCCCACTCCTATGTTTCACAGAGATCACTTTTCTGTTAATTTTAAATGCCTAAGAATGTTTGTGTGTTGATTACAGAGTTCAACCAGTGGCATTAAGTAGAACAAACAGAGCAACAACAACAACAACAAATACTAAAAGGAATAAAATAGTAAGTTGTTCCTCAACAATCTAGACAAGGGCTGATCATGTCATTGTCTCTCATAGTGTTCATTTCACTTCAATAGGTATCATTTTAGATGCTCGTTCAGTTGCCATCGATCAGGGAGAACATATGATATCTGTCCCTTTTGGACTGGCTTATTTCACCCAGCATGATATTTTCCAGCTTCCTCCATTTTGTTGTAAATGCCCGGATTTCATTGTTTTTTACTGCTGTATAGTGTTCCATAGAGTACATATCCCATAGTTTCTTTATCCAGTCATCCATTTGTTAGAGTCGACTGCCCGAAAAACGTCACCAAGAGACATCTCTTATGCAAACAGCAAGGGGAAGCTTTATTGATTATCCAGCATGCTGGGGCTGTCTGACCATAGATGAACAGAGCAGCCCCGAATAACCAAAGGTTAGGGTTTATAAAGGCAAAAACCGCAAAACCGGGAAGGAGGGGAATACATGGTTGCTATGCACGGTTGTTATACACAGTTGCTAAAATCAAAAGAGAGTACATAAAATCAAAAGAAAGTATATGGTTACTGGGGTCAACATAACCTAAAACCTATTGAAATTAATATTTATCATAATCTTGACAATACCAGTTACAATATTACAATCAGCAATTAGGACTTGACATTAATGTAAGACACAGACAAATCACATCTTCATTATTAGCCCAGGTAACCCAGGTGCAACCTTTCTACTTTTAAGCTTGAGCAGTCATGCTAGGGGGTTTTTGTGCATTGCCAAGGGTGATGTAGTGCATTGCTATTGTCCAACTATTTGAGATCATAGTTTCAGACCAGAGTCTCACGGTGGGGGGGTGCTTTCCCAGAATGCAGTCTCAAGTGCTCCAAAATGGAGTCCCTACTGCCAAGGTGCTACTCTGTCTTATTTTTTTACAGCTGTACCAGCAAGGTTTAAACCTGTAAGCTTAAGCTTAACTTTTTACACCCACACATATACAATTTTAACTCTTCATTCCCCACTCCTTGTTGTGAGGATCTCTAATCTTAGAGATTTGTTTTTGTATCTTTTAATGTGACATATTGTTGTCTTATGATTATGAGTTTAACATTTTTAACTTGTTCCCGCACGAAGGTGATGAGTCTATTTAACACACAAGGTCCTATGGTTACAATTAGGAGTAGAACAATTAAGGGTCCTGTTAGGGCTGACAGTAGAGTAGTAAGCCATGGGGACTGGCCGAACCATGACTCAAACCATCCCTGTTGAGTTTCCCTCTCCTGTTGCCATTTTTCCAGTCGTTTTCTGAGTTTGGCCATGAAGTTTCTAACCACCTGGGTTTAGTCAGCATAAAAACAACATTTTTTCTTTAGGGCCACGCATAACCCACCCCCATGAAAATGAGATTTAACCCCCGCCTGTTCTGTAATACTGAAATGCAGATACTGGGCTGCATCTGGGAGATTGTGGAAGATTTGTCAGGCAGAAGGGGCGGGGACCTCCACCTGGCAGGTTATCAGGTAGAAGGGGGCAGGGCAGGATGCAAAGGCCGGGCTGTCCGTGAAACATTGTCAGGATGACTGAGATGCAGATGCATATGCTGGACACATTAGGCCTTTATGTCACACACACATAAGCTCATAACTGACTTTCTGCCTAATATTTTTTCCTCAAGAGGTAATACCCAAAATTCTTCTTTGGGATTATGGATGGAGTTCCGTCTTCTGTAACTTCTTCAAAGCTGGCATGTGGGCGTCGAGGGGGATTTGGGTATTTCCTCTTGCTACCTGTCTTATGGTGTGCAACAGTGGCCTTGGAAAGACTGTACTGCTCGGTCCAGAGGGCTGCTCAGGTAGTCCAGTGGAATGGGCTGGAAGTCTTGCCTGATGACCATTTGGAGTTAGCAGCTTTTAGTCTGTTAGAGACAAAACAAATAAGGGCATTAAAAACACACGGTGTAAAGAGAAGCATCTATAGTCTCAGTACAGGAGTGGAGGGGACCACTTTCCCCTGGAACTGGCAGGGAGGGCTTTTTAAGTTTAATACCATTGGATAGACTTTTAAGGCCTGGCAGGGTGTGTGAGGCCCAGACCTATCCATGGGGTGCTGTTAAGAAAATTGTAAGAGATGCAAATCTCCTTTAAGGGAGGCACCCTGTTGACTCGCATTACATGGCTGGACTAGGAGAGTTAAATAGGAGGCTGATAGAAATAGGCAACTTACATTTTACTGACCCTAAGCCATCCCCAGTAGCAGTGGCTGGAGCTGGAAGCTGGGCAGAGGCTGGGCAGAGCCAAAGGCTTTTTGGCTCAGGGCCACAGGGTCTGCGGTTCTGAACCAGGAGTCCTTCGACACCCAGGGCAGTTCCGTGTCCAGTGGCTGTGCTCTTGGCAGGGCCGACAGAAGGCATTTGCTGTTATGACAGCTGCTTGCCCAACGCCCTGGCTCCTTATATCAGCAACAGGTGCACAGGTTTGGGGTGCACTGGCCTTGCTGGGTCTCCTTGACGGCAGATCACGGTGTAAAGCAGCCATTGATTGGCCTGTTGCCCATCCATACATTGCTCCTGCTGCTAGCTTGCTCCTCATTCCACTGGTCTCTAATAAAGTGGACCATGGAGGCAGCCTCTATGATGCCAGTCAAGGGGGGTGCCCAACCCAACCCTGATTTTTGGAGATTTTTTAATATTAGGGTGAGCTAGAAAAATTATGGTCATGGGCAAATTCTGACACTTAGTATTTTCCTGCCCATGAGGAGAACTATGACCCTTTAGGTAAGATCAACTGTGGTGACCTGTTTGTATACTTTGAGGTCGTCAGTTTAACTTTTTATCTATTTTTTTAGTTTGGTTTAAAAGGGGAGTTCTGCCCATTTAACGCGTACACTGAAAAATTGATCTAGTAGTTTAACCCCTCCCCCCTTTTTTTATGTTGTTTGGGGCCCTATACTGTGGCCAGGCATTATTACAGAAAAGGTCAGTCATCCCTTAAATAAGGTCTGGGGATCAAACCGTACGTCACAGTGGAGAGTCCTGCAGAACAGTAGTAACTTCCCTTCTGGAAGAGAAAAGAGGAGAAGTGAGGCAGCAAGTTGGGTCTCTAGCCTGACTTTCTGGGCTTTTAGATTTAACTGGCAGTTTAACCAGTGTATACTGTGTAGCCTGACTTAGAGGAGAAATTGTGGCAGAGGTCTCTGCCATCCTTTGGCTTCCGGGTATTTACCGTGTAGCCTGTAGACACGAGAGCTTTCTTGGGTTTCTGGAACCCAGTTTTCTAGCATCTGCCACATAACCATAACTTAACAGAGACAGTAGAGTACACAATGGATTAACATGAATTTTATGTCTCTTGTTGTCGAATAAACCAGAAATAATAAAAAAAACCTGTATATAAGAGTTTACATAATTTAGGATTATTTAACAGAGTCAAAAAAAAAGAGCTTACAGGACCTAACTCTAGAAATGGCAGAGTAACCGAATAAGCAGACACTGTTAAAACAGACGTTACAGTTTTTGCAGAAACAGATTTTAAGATTTATGATTTAGACCATTTTTAGATATTTACTAACATTAGTATACTTTTTTTTTTTTTTTAAACCCCATTGTTATAACAGAAGATTAGACTTTAACTTTAGGTCAGTGTAATTTTGGCATTAGCACTTAACTCTGTAAACAATATTTTAAAATTGTAAACATTTTAAAACTTTTTATGACTTGTTTACACCTTTTGAAACTTTATACCCGTAGTTTCTTTTACATAGCCTTGAATTGTCATGTATGGACAACCTATGAGAATACATGTTAACAAACTCAAACAGTTTTTTTTTTATTGAATTTGAGATGTTAAAAGTATATATAATATGTTTTTCCAAGTTTTATTTAGCACTGATGCCTAGATGACTTAAGACACTGAGTTATTAATGAATACCACACCATTATCTGAAATAAAAGTTAAAATTACATTTTTATATTTTTAAGTAACACGAGGATAACACCTCCTGGACAGCAAACATTAGTGCATGTTTACAACTTTGAAAAGATCTTCTTCATTAAGAGAAACAAGTTTAAAGCATATCAAAGACATGTAAAACTGAGCAAGCAAGCCACTGAGCAAACCAAAGGGTGTTTGTATTACCTCAGTTTTCTGAACCAATCTGCATTGGCTTTCTTTAGTTAACAACATAAAGGCTTGTATACACAGAATTTACTCTTATTTTTATAAGACCGCTTTAGCTGGAAAGCAAAAACATAAATACAGTATAGGTCTGACACTATTTATAACATTTTAATATATTTTATATAATCTGAATTGACCCAAGCAGCTGTTACTTTAACAAATTTAGAGTCTCATCCTTTGAGAGTTCCAGGGATCCGACTGGAAGCCCAAAGTTGGAAGACTCAGTTTAGAATTTAAGCTGTCAGAGAGTCAAACCATTTAGCCAAAATTAGTACATTTCTGATCAGTTGGGTAATTACTTAGACATTAAAAACAGATAAACAATGTAAACAAACTTCGCGCTGTAGTTTTTCCAATCAAGACTCATAATGGCAATAGAAAAACGCGAAACCTTCAAGACAGGTGAACGCTCTCAGATGAGTCAGGGACAGCAGCACAGAAAAGAGCTGATTATCAGCATATGAACCCATTGTTTAGGTTTTTATTAGCTGTAAAGAGAAAAACCCATCAGTTTGGAAAGGGTTAATGGCTTAAGGTTCTGGCTCCCTTAGGTAAGGTCAGCAGTGGTATTGAATTGGAAATTCCTCCAGGAGAGGAAAAAGAAGCAGCCCTGGGGTGGGGGCTCTGCCTAGAGATATTTGGAGTGCAGAGAAAGGCTGTGTTCCCCCATTTACAGGGAAGACTGCACACACCAGGGCTTGGCAGGACTAACTGTGGGCTTGGGTAGGTGCGCCGTTTTACCAAGAGTGTTGGGAACCTTCTATAATTTAACCAAAGCCAGATCAATTAGGACTACTGTAGACACTCAGTCAATTATAACAGATAGTTAACTTTAGCTCTTTTCCAGATTTAGTCCTCAGGCAATCAAAGCTTAGCAACAGTAATAGTTTACAAAAAACTTTTAAGACGCACCAGAGCTACCATAAGCTGCAAAGACGGAAAACTTTTTACCCGGTTGGAAAGGGTTAACAGGTAACAGGTAACAGCTTTTCCCCAGGTGGAGAGACCTGTGGAATTTCCCTCTCCCTTTCTCCTCGCCAGTGGTATAGGAATGGAGATGAGGAGAGCAAAAGAGTGGGGGAGGGAGCCCCCGGGAGGAGGAGGAAGGCAGAAAGCAATGAAGCTCCTCAAGAAATCTCCTATCGCTTAAGGTTACCCACTACCTAGTTGTCTGAGTTTACCTGAGGGTCAATATTAGCCTCGACCGAAGCTAAGCCCTGCTCGCGTAGCAGTAGGCAGCGTGACCAGGCATCCCTCCGAGAGAGAGACCTGGTGCTCGGGTCACAGTCCGGCTGCCGGGAAGCCGAAGCGAGCTCAGGGGGTCTCCAGACTCTCAGCCAACTGCCCTTCCTAATTTCCCTCCCATTCCTTACAATCCCTCTGGAGTTTCGGCCGTAGCTAAGCCGTGGCCGGGGGGACTCCGCGTTCTCGGAGAGCTGTGGGGTGCCGGACACTCAACGGTCACTTCCACAGATCCGGTCCCGCTTGAGGGAAGGAATACTGACCTCCGATGTCTTCTCAAAATCCCGGTCTGAGTGCCCTTGACGGCCAGGCAAGAGAACGGCCTCTTTCACTTGGCGAATGAGTGGTAAATGGAGAGCCCTCCGGGGGCCAATCCACTCCCAGAGCTGGCCATTCAGAGGCACAGAAAGACTGCCACTTTACCTTCTTGACTGACAAAGAGAGGTTATGTGCCAGGTCGCTTACCTCCTACCAATGATTTAAAGTTAGAGACAAAGGTGTAGACACAGTCTGGCCCATGTTAGCAGACATCACAATGTACACGAACAGACAAACAGTGTAGAGAATCAGCACACAACAACCACACAAAGTGTCCGTAGAGGAACTGAGATAAACTACTGGTCGCGATGATGCTGGCAATACAAACACAGACTCTGGAACCGCCTCAGAGCCCTGTGAGGATGCCGGTAATACAAATGCAAGCTCCGGAACCACTTCAGAACCTACAAATGCAGACTCCAGAACCACTTCAGAGTCACGCGACAATGCTGGCAATACAAACACAGATTCCAAATCTACCAAATGGGAGCCATCACAGCGCCCCATACAATGCTAAATGACAAGAGAATACAATCAACAAACAACAAGACAACCAACAAAGCACCTTACAACTACAAAAGACTAATAATAAGAAGGCCTTACTGGCCACCCCGTCTGTGCTGGGAATGCAGACTCCACGCCTGCCCCTTCGGAAGTATCTGGGCGTCCCCAGCCTTCCTTTGTCCTCCTGAGGCGTCCCTCAGGGCCGTAGCCTGTGGCCCCCGGGCACGTCTGCCGGCCACAGCCAGGAAGGGCTCACGCCCTGTCCCAGCAGCTACTACACCAGCACAGTTCCCAAAACCCTAGAGCGCTCACAAACTACCAAAATCCAGAATGGAGAGACACAAACCACAAATAAGCCGGCCGACAACACAAATAGGCGCCTGCACTTACCCCGAGAGATATCCGTTGGAGACGTCTGCAGGCAGCAGTCAGATCTCGCTGGGGCCTCCAATGTTAGAGTCGACTGCCCGAAAAACGTCACCAAGAGACATCTCTTATGCAAACAGCAAGGGGAAGCTTTATTGATTATCCAGCATGCTGGGGCTGTCTGACCATAGATGAACAGAGCAGCCCCGAATAACCAAAGGTTAGGGTTTATAAAGGCAAAAACCGCAAAACCGGGAAGGAGGGGAATACATGGTTGCTATGCACGGTTGTTATACACAGTTGCTAAAATCAAAAGAGAGTACATAAAATCAAAAGAAAGTATATGGTTACTGGGGTCAACATAACCTAAAACCTATTGAAATTAATATTTATCATAATCTTGACAATACCAGTTACAATATTACAATTAGCAATTAGGACTTGACATTAATGTAAGACACAGACAAATCACATCTTTATTATTAGCCCAGGTAACCCAGGTGCAACCTTTCTACTTTTAAGCTTGAGCAGTCATGCTAGGGGGTTTTTGTGCATTGCCAAGGGTGATGTAGTGCATTGCTATTGTCCAACTATTTGAGATCATAGTTTCAGACCAGAGTCTCACGGTGGGGGGGTGCTTTCCCAGAATGCAGTCTCAAGTGCTCCAAAATGGAGTCCCTACTGCCAAGGTGCTACTCTGTCTTATTTTTTTACAGCTGTACCAGCAAGGTTTAAACCTGTAAGCTTAAGCTTAACTTTTTACACCCGCACATATACAATTTTAACTCTTCACATTGATGGACATTTAGGTTGCTTCCATGTCTTAGCTATTGTGAATTGAGCTGCAACAAATATGGAGGTGCAAATGGCTCTTTTTTTTTCTCCCCTTTAATTCCATTTGGGTAAATTCCAAGGAGTGGGATGGCTGGGTCCTGTGGTACTGCTACCTTCAGGTTTCTGAGGACTCTCCAAACTGTCTTCCATAGTGGCTTTACCAGTTTGCATTCCCACCAACAGTGGATGAGTGTCCCTTTTTCCCCACATCCTCGCCAGCATCTGTTGTTGGTTGATTTCTGTATGTCAGCCAATCTAACCGGAGTGAGGTGAAACCTCATTGTCATTTTGATCTGCATTTCTCTGATGGCTAGGGATCCTGAGCATTTTTTCATGCATCTGTTGGCCATTTGGATTTCCTCTTTTGAAAAATGTCTGTTAAGGTCCTTGGCCCATTTTTTTATTTGGTTGTTTGTTTTGATTCTGTGGTGTTTCTTGATCACTTTATAGATTCTAGTTGTTAATCCTTTATCTGTTGTGTAGTTTGTGAATAACGTCTCCCATTCTGTTGGTTGCCTCTTCACTTTCCTGACTGTTTCCTTTGTTGTAAAGAAACTTTTCAATTTGGGGTAATCCCATTTGTTTATTTTATCTTTGATTACCCGTGCCTCTGGGTCTTCTCCAGGAATTCTTCACCTGTTCCAATATCTTGAAGGGTTTCCCCTATGCTCTCAATTAGTTTCATGGTGTCATGGCGCATCTCTAGTTCTTTGATCCATGTTGAGTGGATTTTTGTATAAGGTGTAAGGTAGGGGTCTTGCTTCATACTTCGACATGTGGACATCCAGTTTTCCCAGCACCATTTGTTGAAAAGGCTGTCCTTGTTCCAGGGATTGGTTTTAGGTCCTTTGTCAGATATAAGTTGGTTATAGATGTTTGGATTGATCTCCAGTGTTCTATTCTGTTCCATTGGTCTATCCATCTGTTTTTATACCAGTACCAGGCTGTTTTGATATAACTGCCCTGTAGTATGTCTTGAAGTCTGGAATTGTGCTGTCTCCAGCTTTGTTTTTATTATAAAGTATTGCTTTAGCTATTCTCGGTCTCCTGTTTCTCCACATGAATTTTAGCATCATTTTTTCTAGGTCTTTGAAGAATGACTTTGGTATTTTGATTGGTATTGCATTGAACTTGTAAACTGCTTTTGGGAGAATGGACATTTGATAATATTGATTCTTCCAATCCATGAGCATGGCAGGTTTTTCCATTTTTTTGTGTGTGTGTCGTCTGCTATTTCTTTCTTTAGTGTTTTGTAATTTTCATCATAGAGGTCTTTGACATCCTTGGTTAAATTTATTCCAAGGTACTTTATTGTTTTTGTGGCTATCGTGAATGGGATTGATCTTAGAAGTTCTTCCTCGGCCACGGCATTATCTGTGTATACAAAGGCTGTTGATTTCTGATCATTGACTTTGTATCCTGCTACTTTACCAAACTCTTCTATGAGTTCCAATAGTCTCTTATAGGAATTTATTGGGTCACCTATATATAATATCGTGTCATCTGCAAAGAGGGATAGTTTGCGTTCTTCCTTCCCAATTTGAATCCCTTTAATTTCTTTTTCTTGCCTTATGGCCCTGGTTAACACTTCCAGGACTATATTGAATAGCAGTGGTGAGAGTGGGCATCCCTGTCTGGTGCCAGTTTTCAATGGAAATGCCTCCAACTTTTCCCCATTAAATGAGATGCTGGCCATTGTTTTGTCATAAATTGCCTTAATTGTGTTGAGGAATATTCCTTCTAACCCCAATTTGCTTAGGGGTTTCATCATGAAAGGGTGTTGTATTTTATCAAATACTTTCTCTGCATCTATTGAGATAATCATAAGATTTTTGTTTCTCAATTTGTTAATGTGATATATTACATTGTTTGACTTTCAAATATTGAACGATCCCTGCATACCAGGGATATATCCCACTTGGTCTGGGTGAATGATCTTTCTGATGTGCAGTTGGATTCGGTTTGCCAGAATTTTATTGAGTATTTTTCATCTATGTTCATCAGTGAGATAGGTCTGTAGTTTTCTTTCTCTGTTGTGTCTTTTCCGGGCTTAGGAATTAAAGTGATATTGGCTTCGTAGAAAGAATTTGGGAGGATTCCCTCCCTTTCAATTGTTTTCAATAATTTGAGAAGAACTGGGGTTAGTTGTTCTTTATTCAGCGGTGAAGCCATCTGGTCCTGGGCTGTTCTTTTTCGGTAGTGCATTTATTACTGATTCAATTTCTTCCATGGTTATGGGTCTGTGTAGATTTTCTATATCTTCACGGCTCAGTTTAGGAAAGTTGTATGTGTCCAGGAATCTATCCATTTCTTCCAGGTTCCCCAATTAGTTAGCATACATCTCTTTGTAGTGGTTTCTGATGATTCTTTTTATTTCTGTTGTGACTGTTGTTACATTTCCATTACTATCTTTGATTTTACAGATTTGGGTCTTCTCTCTCCTTTTTTTGGTTAGTTGGGCCAATGGTGTGTCAATTTTGTTTATTTTTTCAAAGAACCAGCTCCTGGTTTTGTTGATCTTTTGTATTTTTTTTTGGTTTAAAATCTGTTTTTTTCTTCTCTGGTCTTTAGTATTTCTTTCCTCCTGCTGGGTTTGGGCTTGATTTGCTGCTGTTTTTCTAAATCCTTGAGGTGCATGGAGAGTTCATTTGTTTGGTTCCTTTCCAGCTTCTTGATGTAGTCACCGATTGCTATAAACTTTCCTCTTAGCACTGCTTGTGCTGTGTCCCACAGGTTTTGACAGGTTGTGTTATCATTTTTATTTGTTTCTAGAAATCTTATGATTTCTCTTTTAATTTCTTCAATGACCCACTGTTCATTTAGGATCATGTTGTCCATTCTCCATATATTTGCATATGGTGTAGAGATTCTTGGGTTGTTGATTTCAAGTTTCACTGTGCTATGGTCTGAGAATCTGCATGGTATAGTTCAATTGTTTTGAATTTGTTGAGGCTCCCTTTATGGCCTAGCATATGGTCAATCCTAGAGAATGTTCCATGTACTGGGGAGAAATACATGAACTCTGTGGCTGTGGGGTGGAAAGTTCTGAAGATCTCTATTAGGTCTATTTGGTCAATAGTGTCAATTAGCTCTGTTGTTTCCTTGTTGAATTTCTGACTGGTTGATCTGTCCATTGGTGAGAGTGGGGTGTTGAAGTCCCCTGTTACTATTGTATTTGAATCTATAGCTCCCTTTAAATCCTTTAGTAATTCTTTCAAGTAGCCAGGTGCCCTGTAATTAGGTGCGTATACATTTATAATAGTAATGTCTTCCTGTTCGATAGATCCTTTAATCATTATATAGTGCCCTTCTCTGTCTCTTTTAGTGGTTTTTATGTTACTCTATTTTTTCTGATATTAGGATGGCCACACCAGCTCTTTATTGATTTCTGTTAGCTTGGAGTATCTTTTTCCATCCTTTCACTTTCAGTCTGCATGCATCTTTGCTGATAAGGTGTGTCTCCTGAAAGCAGCATATAGATGGATTCTCTTTCTTGATCCAATCAGCTAGTCTGTGTCTCTTATTAGTAGAATTAAGACCATTCACATTCAGTGTGATTATTGTTAAGTACTGTCTTTTCCCATTCATGTCTCCTAAACGAGCTGTTTATGTATTTTGAACTTTGTTTGTAGCTTACTCTACATTCGCGCTTTTTTTGTAGTGAAGTTCTTGTTTTTGTATTTCTGTGTGGAGCACGTCTTTGAGCAAGTGTTGTAGGGTCGGACGCGTGGATACAAATTCTTTCAGTTTCTGTTTGTCTTGGAAGATCTTTATTTCCCCTTCATTCATAAATGATAGCTTTGCAGGGTATAGTATTCTAGGTTGGCATTGTTTGTCTTTTAAAACTTGAAATATATTGTGCCATTGTCTCCTTGCCTGTAGTGTTTGCGATGAGAAGTCTCGGGTGAGTCTGATTAACTTACCCCTGAATGTGATTTGTCGTTTCTCTCTGGCACATTTTAGGATTTGTTCTTTGTGTGTCACTGAGCTGAGCTGAGGGTTGCCACAATGTGTTGTGGTGAATTTCTCTTCTGGTCTCTCCTGTTAGGAGTCCTGGCTATCTGCTGAATTTGCCTGTTATTATCCAGCTGCCTTTGTTTGAAGTTTTCTGATATTATTTCATTGAAAACACCTTCCAGTCCATCTCTCTTTCCACCCCCTCAGGGACTCCTATTATCCGAACA